AATAAACTCATGTCTTCAGCTTGAAATATGGTTTTAAACAGTTGTCTCTTTTTTTTAATTAAAAAATGACAAATTTAACTGGAAGTTTGTGTCCATTTAAGTTTCTTTACTGCTTTTCAAACTTTACCTCTGCAGCTTATTAAACTTTGTCTCCAGTCCACAAAGTATTTAATGGCACCGTTATTAGTACATAGTTACATCTCTTGGAGAGGAAAAGTACTATGTCAGCCTTATGCAAATAAGAATCAATTTTAAAGTGTGAGGCATATTCATAGGTTAATTATTAAGCAAGCTCCACAGCTAGCAGTATTTGGGGAAAGTGAAGGCACTGTATATAGTCCCTCCTCACCTTGCAAATGACAGAATTAATCCTCCTCAGTTGAGTGTAAAGACTTACTACTATTTAAACTTTTCATACAGTTTGTATAACTTAGAATTACCTTCTTATTTTCCTAACAAAACTGCTTGTGGTATCTATTTGTTTTCTCATCACTGCATTCAAAATAACCAAGATTTTTGGTACAGTAAGCATTTCTTCTTGCATTAAAAAAACCCAGCTGGATTGATGAAAATTGCAGCTAATTATAGTACAAACTATTTGGCACACAAATCAGTTCAGTAATCAATTAACTGCGTAGTAAGGATTAAGAGAAGTAAATATACCATGTATAACCAACTCCAGTTTGAGCTGTATTTCAATTCAAAAAAGAAGAAAATTTTTCAAAAATTTCAGCAGAATATCCTAAAACTTCTTTTGTGGATTGTTCTCTCTTCTGGTTCTATGAATAAACAGTTTCCTTACAGAATAAAAAGCAAATCTCATCAGCAAACAAAACCTCCACATAAGGACCTCACAGTGGAGAGTTCTCTCAGAAATATGAAGTACACATGTATATATATAAAACATTCATAGGTGCTAGTCACTTTACTGAATACCAGGAGCTGCAATTATAATCACACGGAGTTGTGTTGGTTTTTTTTTTTTTTTAAATGCTTTGCTTTTTCTAATTCTGTGCTTTCACGCTGTTTTAGTGATATATATGTTGTAAGGAAAATGTGTCACTTAGACATGGTTCTTTCTTAATCTGGAAGGAAAACATCTCATGAAGGAAAATAAGGCTCACGCATGAAAATAAAACTATGCATCACTGTTGCATACACATACGTAATATGCCAAGGCAAAACCATTATTGTGGTATAGGAAAATATTTTCATTTACTACTATAGAAGAAAAAAAGCGAAGATGCAAAGTACCAGAACATCAAATGCTGTCATTGAACACTTAGATGCATTTTGTGGACCTTCTGCATAGGAAAAATACATAACATAGAAACAAAGATTAGCATGGGAAAAAATGACTTTCTGTAATTCTTGACACAAAAAAGTACTTCTGCTTTCTCCCACCCAACCACTCATTCTTGCCTGCTCTCCTCTGCCCACCTGTTCCACCACTGCTAGTTTCTGTGATAGATTGATTCAGTTGCCTGTATGGCCTCACATCAGGATCTGCCAACAAGAAGGTGAAAGGCAAAAACATCTTAATATGTTTGTTAACATTTCTGTGAGACAAGTTATGTTCATTTCGTTGCTTCTTTGTTAAAAACTAAAAATTACTAATGTTTTCTTTTTTCTATGTGAAGGGAAATCTCCAAGCACAAGCTAGCAAAGCTTTGCCTAAGTTCAGAGTCCCATCACAACTAAAGTTGTTGACATACTTGTAAAGAAGACACTAGGGTTTTGTTTGGTTTGGTTTTGAATTTCCTTCTCTTGTGATCTACTAATATTTCCCCAGCATCCTCATCTGAGTCAGTGCATTTTATTGTGGGGATGTTCCCAGTGAACCGCTTGCATACAGGGCTGCATTAAAATGTGCTTGTTTTGTGAGTGAGGAAGAAAGCGCTAAGGACTTTTGCATAAGAATTCTTCTGTCATTTCAGAAGCCCTCTCCTGTTTCTTCTACTCAGTTTAAATTGAAAAACAAAAAAGCCCCAACAACTAAGCATTATGAGTTACACATAACCCAGCTGTAACTGAATGATCCAAACCTCATTTATTAACATAATGAAACAAGCATGGAATAGAGCCTAATACCATGGAAACCCATGGGAGATAGGATTGAAACACATCAGAACTTTATTAGCTGCGAGATCTATTTGTTTGAGAAATCTCTCGGGAGACAGACAATTAACTCCTCTGGCTCTCACAATTAGGCAGTTGGGTTTTATTAAAATAAGTGAAAGGATATTTTTAGAATTTATTTATACTACTTCTTCACTTTGTTATTATTAATTTAAAACACAGATCAGAAACATTCTGTTCAGCTATTCTGACCATAATCAATCCCTACCAACTTGCTCAACAGCTAACTCATTATTTCCCTTATATTGAGGATACTACACCATTTGTTTTGTGGTTGTTTTTTCTTGCTGTTTGGTGGTTCTTTTTTTTCATCTACTTTATCTGGATTTTATAGCTTTGAGCAACCCGTGGTTGATCTATTTTAAGATGTGTGTGCCATCTCCTGGTCACTGATATTGCCACATGCAGTTACTTCAGTGCTTTAAAGAAAATCTTAATTAAAACTCATTTAGGACAGTGGAAACCTGGAAAGCTGACACACAAAATAGTGTAGCTTGTTTTAGTAAAAGCTAGCAGTCTCAATTAAAATGTATACATTCTAAACAGCACTTCTGTTTATGATATGTAATGGCTTCTTTAGTTTCAGTACACATACATGTGCTAAGGAACAGTGTGAACAGACAGGGCCAACATCTGTATAGTTTTGACTTCAGATTTTCCCCAGGAAAGGCATAAGCAAGACTGCAAAAATTGATATTTGCCCCAGCTGTCATTAAAAACTAAACCCTGTTACAAAGAAAGGGGAGTGGGTCCATGAACCCCTTAAAAATTGCATTACTGTTTAGGCCCCTTCACATCAGTCCACCAAATAGTCACATAAACCATTTTCCAAATGTAGCTACAAAGCCTTAAGTGTATAATGTTTTGAGGAAAACAAGCATGGATTTGAAGAAAAACAAGACTGTATACAGTCTTGTCTGTTAACAAGACATTCCTGTAATTAGATGTTCCATGAATACAAAATTCAAGGTAAATAGCACTCCAAATCTGACAGGTCCTCCTTCTCTTCCCTTTTCCTCATTTTAAAGTGATCATGCTATAAAATATACTAAAGATATGTTTCAAGAAACGACACGGGAAGAAGTTCTGTGGTCCAAAAATCTTCTAACTGTAGTAAACCAGACAGTGAACTCTTATTTCCTAATAACAAGCCAATGGTACTCTCAAACAGCTATGCTTGTTAGTGTCCAAAGAATATTTAGCAATTTTGAATTCTACATATATTTTAACATACCAAGTACAGCAAGTTCATATCACAATGTCAAAAAAGCGAAAATCATTCTACGTATCGTATTAAAGATGAATTTTAATTCAATTAATTCTTAAATACTAAACATGTTAAATTAATTTTTAATAATCCACATCTATTTGTTGTAGAAGAAAAATCTCCCACAAGACAAAGGTTATTAAGTAAGCATTTTTTAATCATTCAGTATGACAGAGCACTGTAGATCATTCTTCTTCATCTGAAACTCAAACTTTTATAGATTCTGTACCATTTCTCAATTCAGAGAATTACAGCTGCCCTTTCCCTTTATGTCTGATCTTTCACCTTAATAATTTCAATTGAATTCTAAAAATTTAGAAAGTAGAATGCAGTCATCTTCTTTAAGAAACAGTCACTCCTTGCAAAGAATTTTTTGTCAAAAGGTTGTGAAACTTTCATGTTTCACAAACATGAAGTCAGTTCTGATAATACTAGCTCATTCAAAGCTGCCAATGACAGTGCGAAACATATACAGAACGAGGCCTTGTAATTCACTATCTCTTTACTCATAAAAAATACTCAGTTAAGATGTTAAAATTATTCATTTAAAAAACTGGGGTATGCAAAGAAACTTAAAAAGAACTGCAGTGTGTTGCTTCATTAATCCTGTATGAACTGGCCAATTTTGTGCATCTTTCAAAATTTGTCTTCGTAAGTCCATCGTCTAACATTTGCTTGCTGTGCATTTACACAAACAAATCAGCTCTACTTCAGAAAAAGTCACCTTGGCCAAGTCAGTAAGCTCTACTACCTATAACACCTCTGTTTTTCATTTCTGCTGAACATGTCATCAAAACTTTTTGGACAAGAGCTGCACATGAAAACACAGGCATTTTTTTTTCCAGGTACATCAGGGCCAGGTTAGAATTCACAATGACAGTGTTTTTTTTAGTTTTTCAAAAACAGAATAGTCAAAGATACCAGTTTCACATTAATTAAATTCAGCTTCTGGAAAGTTATAGGATGCAAGTTATTTCCCAAGCAGCATTTAGTAAGAAATTGCATAAAACAATAGGACTAAATCTACCTTCGTTTTTCCACCTTAAGTCCAACATCATGGCACCCTTCCCCTGTACTGAATTTACTGAGCTGTAAATGTTTGCGGCATATTCCAATTTATCTGGAATGATATTTGGGTTTCACAAAGGCAGAACATATGCTCATCTTGAAAAAGGCATCTATACATTTTATTCTATTAAGAAAAAACTTGCCCTAAACCTATATCTTACTCATACTATTCAGCACAACAACATAGTTCTGCATTACCATCAACTATCCTTGGGGCTAACATAAGATTACCAAAAAGAATCGAGTCATGATAGCTACCACACAGTAATAGGAAACAAACAGGAATACTTAAAATTTTTCTTCATGGAACTTAATTCTTTTCTTTTAGCCCCTGACACTCTACTTCGAAATTGTGAGTTTCTGCGATCTTTGTCAGAAGCACTCATCTTCACTAAATGAGAGGTGCCGATGGATAAAAACCAGAAGGTTTAGAAAAGAATAGTTAGCATACTGAACACACCATTTGACACCTACTAAAAAAATACTTGAATTACTTTAACTGAACTTTGTATGAGAAATCTGTGATCTAATTCCCTTCATGTTCAGCATCGAGCATCACAGCGGAACCATCACTGCTCAGTGTGACCTTGCCAGCAATAAGCTTGCATAACCTCTCAAAGGTACCACAAAGTTGATTCACTTTGGGAAAAGAAAAGATTGTTTTAAGAGGTATATAAACCACATTTCCAGCGACAAATGGTTCCATGCTTTTTTCAACAACCCGTTTTCCAAGATCTTCTGAAAAGCAGTTCATTGAAGGCTGGAATTTGCATTTTCTTTGATCATCATTATGCTCCTCATGTTCTGCCACTAAACGGTTCTGTAGACTTTGCTTAATGATTTGTGCTGTGAAAACGACTTCACCAACCACTGCATTCTGCAGGTACTTCTCATCTTTAAGACTTGGATATACTGCTTTGAAGACCTTTACAACATAAAGAACATATAAAATGTTTGTCATTATCATAGGGTCACATTTTAACATTTGCTTGTCAAAAAGAGCTTCTAAAACGTGAACGTAATTTTTGATTCAATCCTGTTTTGCTTATTACTTTAAACATTTTCATATAACAAAAATTAGACAATATGACTTGATTTTATGTATCACAACTACAATGGCAATTAGACAAGTTAACAGAACTTAAAAAAATTCAGGCTTATATCTGCAAGCTGTATTTGTAGATCAGGCAAGGTGAAGCCCTGCAATTCTTTAATTCTTTCTAATAATTCTCTTCCTTTCCATATTACTCATCATGAAGCGCTGGTGACAATTCCACAGCTATTTAGCTTCTAAACTACTTCCAAACTGTCATCTGGAAACCGTGACTACAACTATGTCTTTCATTCTGTTTCCAGGTAAAACATTAAATATGCTCTCATAGATGCAGAGAATGATAAAAAAAAGGTGACATCAAAATTTATGAACTTGTAGTGTGTTCTACGCTGAGCTACACTCAAGGCAATTAAGGGAACTAGGCAGGCAATCTCATTCCCACCAGTTTACTAGGAAGTACTTTGTAACAACACACCACCACTGAAGTTCCACAGTCTGTAACTATTATTTTCTGATTACATCTTGAAATGATGATTTATTCCTCTAAATTAATTACATAATAAAAAAACCCAAATTTGATAGTCCAGGTTTGATAAGAAACACATGAGATAGAACACTTGTTTAAATTCAAAGGCTATTGATGTCAAAAGTCCCTCCATAGTGATCCTGTCACGGAAGATAACGAAAGCAATTTCTAGTACATGTCAGCCACCTAGATGTATTTCCAAGTTTGATGAGCATTAAAGAGCGCTTCACAATTCTATTAAAGGCAGTAGATGACAGATGAAATTTCAAACGTATAGAATGTCTTTATAGCTTGGAAACTACAAAAGAAATTCCCACAATGCCACTTCACGTTTCACTTCAGGTCATAAGTCACTTGAAGATACATATATATGCTTAAACAAAGAAGAGAAATATTATATGTTCACAGAAACAAATAATTTAAGGCATCATAAGAAAGAGAAAAATCAACCCAATATATTTCTCTTTTTGCATTATTACTTCATGTTATCTCTGACAAAAATGTCCTTTGATTTATACCACATGGCACTTGATGCATTAGGCTTTGTCGGTGTGACACACTGCCATGCACAGCAGAGTGCTTCACAAAAATATTATCTGATGTTACCTAAAGTGAAAGCCATATAGTGCTAAAATCAAAAAGGTCTGACATGCAACACCAGAGAATTGGGTACTCAACAAGATCCCACGCCTCTGCAAAAATCAGAACTGGCTACCTGAAAACACCAATTTTAGGGTGAAACACCCAATGCTACTGAGTAAGGCAAATCACACAAAACATACCCTGTCAATCCAATTTCTGGGAAATGCCTTCCTTCTGATAATATATTTGACAAGACTGTATGTTTTGAAGAACTGCATATTCTCTTAGAAATGCATCTGAAAAATCTGTGTCATTGCCAACAATGACATGATGAAAAAAATGAATGATCAGAGGAACAACTATAAAAATAGTGTCACAGTATACCTAGTGGAAAGGAGAATTTTCATTCTAAGCATAACAGTATGTTAAAATAAGAATGATTATCCATGTTGCTATTTAGCAAATAACCTAAAAGTTAAAGGCCTTTATACAATTAGAAATACAAACCACAGACTTAAGACTCTCTTGATCTGATGGTTTATGTTCATCAGAGCTAAGACTGGACAGCAGTAGTAAACAATAGTAAGAACACCTTCACAGACAGGTCATAGAAAATTTTACTCTTTATTCATCCTCCTAAAGGAAGAAAACAATGCTTACCATTCTGTGAACGGCTTCAGTGGGTTTCTCAGACTGAGCAGATTCACGGGTTTGATGGTATTTTCTAACAAACACACCTATTTGAGTACAAAACCCAACATTCTCCATTCCTGTTGGTGGGTGCCCTACGCCAGTAAATTCCACTGAGTAACCATAGCATCTAGCAGCCTCTAGAGCCCTAAGAAAGATAAATTACTCCGATCATACTAGTCATCTTTTAATATGATAAAGATGCATTCTCCAACAGAAACAACATCCTGAGCCTGTGAATGCTTTAGCATAATTTCTCTAATACTACTAACGTCTGAAGATAAACACTGTCAAAGCTTGCTGAATCAGAGCTGCCATCATATGCCTACCATAGTCTGAATCATTTGGTATCGGTAATTTAGGCACCAAACAGGACTCTTATATCTAAAATATCTGCATAGAATACGCATTTTCACAGTTGCTTACTCACTGTCTTAAAGGCATTGAAACTCAGCTAAAACCTACCAATTTTAAGAGCCACGTACATATGTTTTGCGTAAAATCTTTCATTGTGCTACAATCGGCTAAACTATCCTTAACTTTATTCAACATGCTCTGACACTGTGATTATTCACTAGATCTGCTTGTGTACTCTTACAGAAAGGTCCAGACTAATTGAGTGCTTTAATTGCACACCATACCTAGTGAGAACACTTCTTCGGTTTTTATGAAGCACTTCTATAGCAGGATATTATGTGAAAAGGTTAATTAAGATCTTCAAATGCATTAATTGTAATAAAGATATATAAAAAGCAAAGTAAAAGCTTTCAATATTTTTTGCAGAGCAGTTACAGTAAAAGCAAGCCAACTTGACAATCATAAAATGCAAAACTCACAGAGCATGCTTAACTACTTCACACCAGCAGAGAAATGTTTCACCAAATCAGCAGGTGTGAAACTCCACTGATACCAAACCACATACACAAACAACTCTGAAAATGTATAGCTGTTCCTTTCTCACATTAATGAGCACTCAAAGCTGTCTGCATACAACGTTCAGTAAACTTACCAGCTTCGAAATTGCACTCGGTTCCATTCAAATTTGTGGTCCGCATGCCTGAATAATGTCACTCCTGGAAGCAAAGGGTTAAATTCAGAATTTGGAGTACTGATCACAACTATGCTTGGAGCCATGAAACCAAACACCACTTCAGGAAACTTCTTCAGTTCTGATTCTTCCAGGTGCTCTATTCTGTAAAGGATAAGTTTATGTATGTCTCTAAAAACACTCTAATATTTCAATCTTCATAGCAACCAGAAAAAAACCCACACCGAACCCATATGTATACCTTTTAATCGAAGCCCAGCTGTGCAATATTAGCACTGGCACTGTGACTGAGCAACAGGTTAGAGGTTTTGTTTGAGAAAGTTTCCTCTTGCATTTCGTGCTTTTTCATCAATGTCCCTTTTCCACCATAAGCTCAAATTTCATAGTATGGTTAATTTAAGCACAAGTCAGAAGACGCCACATTCTGCTTGAAAGGTTTGATCAAGTTCATTTAGAGTATGGACAAAATTCCAAACTGAACCTCAATGAACTTAGAAAAACATAGTACATTGGCCTAATACTCACAGTTCAATACACGTTACCAAGTCAAAACCAAGCATGCAAGGATCTTTATGGGCAACTGAACCATGATGCAAGGTAACAGTTAGGGATCTTTCAGCCGGTTGCAAATAATCACCAGGAAGAGGAGACAACCTATGCCTACAAAAGTATTAAAAACCTGATGTCATAGAAAGGACCTTAGGACAGATAAATCGTGCATGTAACAAACAGCTAACACCCTACGTAGTTAACTTGTAAATCTTAAAAAGGTTAACTATTTTGCAGAGATTAAAAAACATAATTTCTAACAGAAACACTATTTATTACTACCTGCAATAGGACAGAAAGAGCAGAGAAGTTAATCCAGCAGCTGTTCTTCACGTTTACAGAAATTCCCACTACACTCGCAAGCCACTTGTATAGCTGCTTGTAAATTCTGGTAGTAGCTCAACTCTAGACACACAGCAAGCCTGGCTAGGCACACTGTACGGGGTTTTGGGGGAAGTTATTAAGCAAACATATTAACCTACTTTTTCCAAATAAAATAGATTGAGAACTAAAATATAAGTGCAAATTTCATTCTGAAATACTGCATCAGACAAACCACACAATAAACATTAAATATAATAAAAGGCTACTCTTCTTCATTCTTGAGAAAGAGCAAGTGATAATGTCAGTATCTAGATCCTACGTATTCACTGAAATCATACTAATCAGCTTCCAAGAGAGAAACTTCGACCCATGCTTCAAAGATCACATAAGCCTCAGGTTCTAGAGCCTTTTAAGCCAGACATGAAGCATTGAGCTAACCTTCCCAACGAAGTCATTACCATGGTGACCAAAGACAGTCACATACACATTCCAAAAACATCAATTTGCATACTGCAGTAATGTCATGTACGAGCATAAAGAGATACCACTAACACAGTGAGTAGGCACCTGTACAAAGTGTTATTTCTCAGATGCACACCCCTCCAGGGCCATTCCCTGACTTGAACCTTTGGTACATTAGGTGATGTTATGGCCATCGACAGCCCAGCAGTCCCCAGACACAGGTGCAATGTAACTAATTAACAACAACGGAGAGCACTTCATTTGCCAAGCTGGTATTTCTGCATTTACCTTCGTTTTGAATGTAACATGCCACTAGCTCAAGTCAAATACAAACTTGAAATTAACACAATGCAAGAGCTTACATTTTCTCTTTCATTACACTTGCACAGATATCTAGCCCAGCTAACACTTCAATGCAACTGCAGAATTTCAGCATCCAGAGAAGCGAACAGTCAGCACATCCTAAATCTGCTACCTGTAAATTAGATATTAAACAATCTGTAAATGCTGCATATTTCCAAGTAATTTCAGATACTCTCATAAAATAAAAATTCCAGATTTACATCATAATAACTTTTTAATGATAAAGCATTTCACAATCATAAAATTTACAGTTGCAAGCTGGATAGACATGATTTTGCAAATTCTTTTTAAAAATGCATGTGAAGATCCTACAAGATGTTTTGAATGGATTAACCTTTTGTTATTACAGCTATAAACAACTACATGTAGAACATCTCACTGACTCTGGAGAATGTCTTCCACATGAAGGCTTAGTCCCTCAAATAACGGTAAGGTATGATTTTAAGGAAAGCTGTAGCAATTTTCACATTCACCACTGCTTTTCACTGGACTTACTCTCCATCCAAAACACTGAGAACAGGCTCACTAGCAGTCAGACTAGCAGCAAAGGATCTGCATAAGAGAAGCTCACAGGCTCAGTCTAATGTTTAAGTGGGGAAGGCTGGGGATAT